GTACTGTTAGTGACACTGTCCCCAGCCCCCAGCCATCAAGTTCCAGGGTCCCCCTGGCATCAGGCACTCGTTTGGCTTTGAGCCACGGGGGACGGTCACCCCACCTGGGGGGCTCAACCCTTTGGGACCACAAACTTTTTGTGTCCCCTCTGCCCTGGCTGGTCACTCACTGCCTTTCCCTGCCAACAGCACACACCTCTCTGCTCCCCGGGGATCTACATCCGCACCCTGATCGAGGACAGCCCCGCGGCCACCGACGGCAGGCTCTCCATCGGGGACCGCATCCTGGCTGTCAATGGCACCAGTCTCATCGGGGCAGATTACCAAAGGTGAGTCACACCTCACTGGAAAGCCTGGTCTGGTATCAGCACTGTGGGAGTTACTGCTCCAGTCCAGGTTTTCAGCTGTTTTGCAGTAAAAAGAGCTGCGCAGGGTCTCTGAGTGCCTGGTGCTACTTATGGTACCACTCACCAACACAGAGGTGTGAGCAAGCTGCAGAGAGAGGAGCAACCTGTGCAGGACACTGGAAAGGGGGGAAGGCAGCTGGGTGGAGGGTTTGGATGAGAGATGAGGAGGCAAAAGCTGGAGAGCATGTTCAAGAAACAAATGAGAGCTCCATGAGGTAGGTCTCAGCAATGCAGACCTGCTCCTGCCCATCCCACCCCAGGCTTCCTCTCAGAGGCAGCAGGATGGGGCAGCTGGCACCCTGCCTGCCTGTCCGAGGCAGAGCCCAGGTGCCCATGGGGCTGAGCAGCTCAGGGCTTGTTTGCCCTCATCCTGGCAGCACTTGTGTGGAAGCCAGGCTCTCTGTAACGCTACCTGCAGAGGAGAAACAGACCCTGCTCGTAACTGGCACGGAGCAGAGGGTGCAGGTGTTTTGCAAATGTCCATGAGGGGCTGCCAGCCTGCAAGGAGCCAGAATTCACCTCTCTCTCTCCCTGTTGTCACTCTCTGCAGTGCAGTGGATCTCATCCGCTCTGGAGGGAAGAAGCTGCGGTTTCTGGTTGCCAAGTCAGACATGGAAATAGCCAAAAAAATCAGTTCCAACTCATCTTGCTCCTAGTCCTTGTGGTACAAGGGGCCTTCTGCAGCATCTTGTGGGTGCAGCTCTGGGTGAGGCTGACCTCGAGGAGCCTGGAGTGCAAGAGGGAGGACCAGGACTCCACAACTACCCTCAGTTTGCTCTTCAACACCTTGCTGCAGCAGATGAAAGGACGTGCAAGGGTGGTGCACGCTGCTCCCACTGCACTGGCTGGGAGCATCATTCCTGATCCATTGCCCAGCCTTGCCTTATACCCTGTGCTGTCCTTCTCAGGAGCTTTCCTGTTTCTCTGTCCCCTCTGGCAGGGGGCAGGAAGGGGGTGCTCCCCCCACGGGGACTGTAGGCAGGTTCCTCCATCCCTCTAGGCTGGCAGCCTGCTGTGGTCTTTCACACTGGCAGGCAGAAGGTTTGAAACACCTTTGGGATTTAAAGATTAGCATGTGGGACAGGCTTGGGCTTTGCTGTGGCAGCGGCTACCTGGAAAAAAGTGCCCAGCTCTAGGGCTGGTAAAGGCAGCACAAGCACCCAGGAGCAGAATCCAAAGCAGGATGTGTTGCTAGGAGTTAAGTTCCCCGGTGCCATAGCCTAAGTCAGGTGCCTTTCTGCTGCTGGGTCACAATCATGCTGTCCCCAGCCCTGCTTTGGGATGGGAAGCAGCTACAGCAAAGGGCTGACACCACCAGCAGTTCCCTGTGAGTCCTGGAGGGAACCCCTTGAAGAAAAGGACTCGTGCAGCAGATTTATTGTCCGACTCTGGCACCTCGATCCTGGCAGAAGACCCCCAGGACTGACTCAGCAGCATTGGGCATTCACAAGTGGACAATTTCTCCATGCAGGAGCTGTTGCTGCAGCTGGGTTAGTGCTTCTGTGCCTGTCCCTGTGACCTGGGAACGGTGGGTTTGTGCCACCCGGGACCTGAGCGAGCCCAGCAGCGTGTGGTGCCAGACCAGAGCAGTGGCTGACACTAGCCCAGGCAGACAAACATCTTGGCACCATGTTCTGCTCCTCTCCCTCCAGCTTTGCCAGGCCATTGAAAGGCCACCCTGTTCCTGCCCAGCTCAGAGCATCTCAGCAGTGTGTGTTGCTGATATACTGACAGGTGACAATGGGCAGCAAAGGCTCCTTTGGAAGGTCAGTCTTGCATGTCCCACAAACAGCTCTGCTATCTGCTGCCAACCACAACGGTGGCTGCTGAGGTGGCAGCTCCATCGTGCGGCTGGCCCGTCCCCTGCACGCCCGGCCTCCTGCCTGCCAAGTCCTCCCTGTGCTTTTAGCAACATTAACGGGATAAACCCGACCTGGTTTCCACATGTAGACAGATATCAAGACCTAGTTTAGCTGAACCCTATTAAAACAGCCTGCTACAAAGCCCTACATCACACCCTGCACTTACACCAGCACGGTCAAGGCTGTAGCAGCAAATCAGATATTCACATGGCATCTCACAACAGTGCTCCCAGGAGTGTGATGCTAAAAAATGGATGCTGAACAGGGTTGGCCTTAATTAAACCTGATCCTTCACTGCTTCATTTTTGGTTTCCGTGCTCAGTCTTGCACTTTGCAGGAGAGAGATGTCAAAATAATCCATGCAGGGGTAACGCTCCACTGTTGATTTCAACACAGCCTGGCCTGCCTTTTGGAGGGCAAGATGGACAAAGCACCTTCACCAAGACACTAGTGCCTTGCTTCTCTGCTTGGCCACGCTCCCACCAACCAGCCTGGGGTGCTGCCTCACCAGGGACTGGGAACAATGCGTCCCTCCGGCCACTGACTCAGCTGTACCAGGCTCAGGGCCCCACAGGGCTCCTGGTGATTCACTCCACTTTGAATCACGTAGGTGTGTTGGCCTGTCATCCTCCACCGAGCTCAGCAGGTTTGTAGGGCAGAAAATGGGCTGCCTAGAGCCCCTGGGCAAACTGCAAGCGTTCCTTACTTCCCCTCTGCCCTTGAGCCAGGGCTTGGGGGAGGCTTGGTTTGCACTAGACAGGATTGGGGCTGCACCCTGGCAATTTCCAGTGGTACCAACGCATCCCTCTGCTCCCCACTGAGACTGACTCTCCAGGCACCCCTGGAGGTGGGAAACAGCCCCAGCACTGGATGTTTCTCACAGTGCAGTCAGGTATTGAAACAGACTGTAAATAAACCCGGCTATTTACTAGCGTGCATGAGGGCTTGCTTCTCCCAGGAGGAGCAGGGGGATGTACTTACTTCCCCCATTTGTTAATACTGTACAGCTGGAATGTGTATAAACGTCTCCTGCAGACACAGAACACAGCATGGCGCCTGTTTGACACGGGGCTGATGTATGTTAAATGCTCTCGGTGTCAACAATAAACTGGATCAATAAATCTCTCTAAGCTCCCGTCTGGTAGCTGTCTTTTGAATCTTGACATCTTCACTCTGATGGTAAGACAGAAGATCAGTGAGGGCTCAGAGCAGACTTAACAGAGTCACTTCTGCTTCCTCCACCTCACACAGGCCTTTGCTTGGCTGATCTGCTGCAAGCAGAGAGGTGATAGAAGAAGCACACACATAACCAGGGCGTAGCAAGGGCCAAGGGGAGGGAGAATTAAGTCAGAAGAGGGGAGGGAAGAAGCACCTCTCCAAAGGGCATGGTGTGCTGGCAGCCTCCTGCCACAGTCACACAAATCCACTGGGATTTTCAATCCATCCTGGCCAGGGAGAGATAAGACAAGTTTAGAAAGTAGAAAAACAACAGGCACTAGGAGACAGAAATACAGCCTCAGACCAGAAGAGCAGCCTCAGTTTTACTGATTCCTGTTTTCTGTTTCATTCACAATCACTTGATCCTCATTTCCAGTTCCAGGAACTCAGCCTTGAGCAACAGCAGTTTCTGATGAGTTCCAATAGAGGCTGGAGCCTGTCTGAAACCTCGTGCCCTCACCCTGGCATGGAGCCAGGAGCTGGCTCTAGGAGACGGGTGACTATCCTGAGGGCAAAAGGGAGAGTGTCATTCACCTCTCTCTGAAACTGTGTGCTGGCCACGTTTCCAGGCAGCGTGAACAGAAACTGAGCCACACTTGGCATTTTCAGTAGGTTCATGAGCTCGGTTGCTCGGATGAGGATCTCCTCAAGGTCCTCCTCACAGTAAACAGAGGTGACAGCAGGGCTCTGCACAAACGTCCTCATCTTGGACAGGAACATGGACACTCTGCAGAAGAGGACATGGACATCAGCTGGCAGGACCCTTACACCCAGCAACATCACTACTTAAGCCTGTGTACTCCAAAAGATTCTGTTGCAGGTGAACATCAGATGCTGCCCACCCCCTTCTCCTGATGCACAGAGCATGAGTCAGCAGATGAGTCCTACTTCCCCAAACTCTGCTCCTCCACAGCTTGCATCCTCTGTCCTGTTTCAGTTTCAGGTTCCATCAGTTGCCAAGCTTATTTAACACTAGCCAACACCTGTGTTTGGACCTATGAGATCTGTACGTTTCAGCCCTTTGCCTTCCCTGCCATCCCTCCTCACCTGGGGATCAAGTCCTGGCTGCGAGTTGCCAGCTTGGTCAAGGTGGCCATAAGGACACAGATGGCATGAGGTGGGTATTTGGGGGTGCTGGCCAGTGGTCGAAGCTGGGTGATTTCAAACAGCACAGCCTCTAAAGTCTCAAAGAACCAGCTGATCTGCTCCACAGTGCAGCGCTTGTCATAGGACACAGACATGTACTCTCCAATAGCCCAGACCTGAAGTGAAGGCAGATGTGCTCAGGGCAAGCAAAAGGAAAGGGGATTGAATAATTTTTGGGGAATGACAAATCAGATTAGCTAATGCTAGGACAGAGGAGAGGAGGAAAGGGAAGGTGACCAACAGATCGCACCACAGTTGGAGCAACCTGTGGCAGAAGCAGGCAGGATCGTGCTTACCACATGGGTGAAGATGGCTTCCTTGTTCTGGATGTTGCTGACTGCTCCTGAGAACTCCAGAATCTCTGTAGACAGTTCCGTGATGAGTGCAGGGTGCAGCTTGCAGAGCATCACCAGCTGCGAGCTCAGCACCCTGGAAGAGAGACACAGGCAGAGCTCAGACCACAGGCAAGGTGGTCATCACCAAAGCAAGGAGGTGCTGGCAGCAGCCAGCCACTGGCACGGTGTCTGTACACTCAGGATGTTCCCAGCAGGGCTGAAGGTGCAGTTCCCATTTTGTACCCTCCAAAGATGTGTCACAGCAGGGACTGGGTCACAACTGAGAAGGTTGCTGGGCTGCCCTGGGATGCCAGACTGCAGCCAGCAGAAGGGCTGGGAGCTCAGCTGGTCCTCTTGTCCCATCTCACCTGTACACGTCATCTTTAAAGGCTGGGATCTCGTAGAGCTGGTCGCTCCTCTGCAGCAGCAGCACCACCAGCTGGTTTATCAGTGCTCCATCTGCAAACTGAGAAACAGCCCTTGCTTCAGCAACACCAGTGACTTCCAGCAGCCAAAACCCAAACTAACCAGCCAGGTAAGATGGCTGGCAAAGAAACAGCCTGATCTAGCAGGAGGGGAGCAGTGCACAAAGCAGACATCAGGCATTCATTCTGCTTTCACCCACCTGCTTTACAGCTGGCTTAGAGAACAGTGTAAAGCCTGACACTGCACCATGGAGCTTTTCTATTCTCCAGATGAAGTAGGCAGCTCAGTGCTGGTTCATGCCAGTATTAGACCATCCCACTCTCCCCTCATGCACCCCTCTGTTGAAGCTGTAGCATCTTAACATTATGCTTTTACAACTGCTCTTCACGTAACAAGAGATCCCCGCAGAGGATCCCTTCCCCAAGAGGGCCTACCTCTGCCACCACCCTGAAAAAGAGCTCCAGTAAGACAGGGACAGTCTCTGCGCATTGCACGACCCTTGGGCTGCTGGCCAGTGATCCCAGTAGCTGCCGAAGCGGAATAAGCCTGTGGGCAACAGAAAAGTTACGTTGAAGGCTGGTTCCCAGCTACTCTCCTGGCTGCCCTTCCCTATCCCCCCACAAGCCTCTGAGCAAAGCTAACACAAGGAAGATCAAATCCACCTCACCCCAGCTGAGAGAGGCTATGCCTGTCCCAGCAATCCCAGTGCTACCTCCCAGAGCTGGGTGACTGAACCAAACCCTTGTGACAGTCTCCTACAGCATCCTCCTACCTCTCTGGGGCATCCTCAGGAGTAGACTTGCTGCGGAGAAGATACTGGAACATGTTCTTGTAGAGGGGATGGTGAAAGGCTTCCAGACAGGTGGCTGGCTTCACAGCTGGGTCGCAGGCAGCCTTCTCTGAGGTAGGAAGAGCAGCTGACCTAGCAGGAGGCACACACAGAACATGCTGCATTATGAGAATGGGCTAGAGCAGAGCTGGAGTCCTGAACAACAGAATAACTCCCTTTCCACTGAAACAGGGACAGCAAGTTGGTCTAATCCAGGCCCTCTGGAAGCCAGAGAACCAGCATGACAGAAATGATGAGCTCAGATCTCCTGGGCTCAGGCAATAGTTCCAGATTTGCTTCTGTATCACCCCTGGGAAAGGAGATAATGGTGCTCTGTATCACTGAAGCCCACCAACATCTTGCGTCTAGGACAACTCCCTTTTCTAAGTACTCCCAAAAGAGCTGCTAATGTCAGGGAAGACAAGGAAGAGCAGAGATACAGCAGTGAGAGTCAGTCCCCATCCTATCCCATCTTCCTGGAGACTCACAGTTCCCAATAACCTCAGGAAGGAACTTCTGTATGCTGCCAGGAAAACAAAGCTGGAGAAAAGGGGTAAGAGCAGGGAGGGAAGACCAGGTAGCCCACACCTCTGTGTTGAGATGGTGGCTCATGGCAGACACTCCAGTATGTGGCAATAATTTGGAGCTGGATATGGAGAGGGGAATGACAACAGCTCCCTAAGCCCCCCGAAAACAGTCCAGTACTGAAGTGTAAGAGCCAGTCACCTTCTCTTCCCACGCACAGCACATTACCAGGAAAACTGGGCTGACATCTGTGCAGTTCTGTGTTAACCTGACTGTAGCAGATGCCTCTCGCTCTGTGATAGCAGCAGCCAGAGGGCAGCTGAGGCTCAGAGAAGCGTGTACTAGGTTATGGTCAATGTCAAGACACTGATTAGCAAGTGAGAGGAAGGCAAGGTAGCATTACCTCAGCTGGATGTCCAGAGCTGCAGTTAAACAGGGCAAGTCGAGCAGCATATGGAAGATCTCAACAGCTGTGCCTGCATCCAGCAGAAATGGAAGTAGGTCCACAAACTCAGAGATAAGGGGTGGGCTGTTCCACGCCAGGAACTGCAAGGAACAAGTATAAACCGCCACACTATCCTGCTACTCCACCACACACCCAGACAATTCTCACACTGTGACCAAAAGGGATGGGGAAGGGAAAGTTACTTCTGAAAAGTAAAACCAGAGAAATCTGAGGGTTTGGTTAAAACCTGGGAGGTTGCTGGAAGCTCAACAGAAGCATCTGGCAGCTGTTTCAGTGTCTGGCAATCTGCAACTTATTGAAGTTTTCAAGAAACAAAGTGCTGTATCCTAACTGTGTAATACTAATGCACCCTCCTCTACAGGCAGTGCTAATCACACCAGAACCCTCTTCCCTCTTCCAACACACTTGCTTTTATCACAGTCCTTCTTGCCCATCCTTCTTGGCCACGCTCTCCCTAGCACTGCCATGGAGGGACACAGAAGGCTCCAGGGTGCACCGAAAGGTTCTGGGGAACAGAAAGGAACGTGTAGCAGGCTCTCTCCTGTGCCGCTCCAGCAAGCTGTACCTTGAAGAGATTTGGGAAGCTCTCCCTGAATATGCTGGGGGTCTCAGTGAAGAGCTGGCTGTTGTCTTTGCAGAACTGGACAAATTCGAAGGCCAGTGATGGGTTGTGGAAGAGCTGAGCCGGAATGTCAGTGAGTAAGTGTTTGTAGATCGCATCGGAGTTCACAGCTGCCATTTTGCCTGGGAGGACACAGCACATAGCTGAGCACAGCCCACCCAGCAGCTCTGCCAACACAGGCTCTGGGGGCTAAGCTAAATCTGGGTAATGTTTTTCTACAGAGCACAGGACAGCCCAGCTTCTGGGAGTCCTGGAGTGGGACCACCCATCCCAAAATACAGCCAAACTTTCAGGAAAAAGAGGTGTGCTGAGAGTACACAAGACTAGATCACGGGGGAAGGGGTGAGAGCTGATGACTTACCGTGGTTCAGGAAGAACTGGGCAATGGGCAGCAGTGCCCTGGCATAAGAGGCATCCCCACAGATTCTGCCGTGCAGGATTTTCAGGATGGAGACTGCGCGGTACACGTAGGAGGAATCCTGTTTGCAGATGATGTCCATGATTGTCACTGCCTCAATGAGACACTGCAGGAGAGCAGAGGGTCTGATTAGAGTGGGGGAAGCCACAACTCCCAGAGCTTCAGCCCTCACCTCTGTGTACGTACAGCTTTCTGCAGGTCTCCATCATCTTTCTTCAAGGGTCCTGCCAGAGAAAGGAGTCCAAGTTAAACTTTGAATCCAAACAGGAACATTAGGCTGTCAGTTTGAGCACTAACCCAGATTTCAGGATGGTTTGGAACACATACTGATCCTGATTCCAAGTTAATGAGAACCAAGTTCCACAGCCCTCCCTGCAAATCAAGGGTAGGAGGCAGAACACGGCCATTGCCTCCAAACATCTCCCAACACCCCAGTTCATGCTGGTCAATAACTTGCACCAGCAACTGCTACCAGTCCCATGCCTAGAGCCTGACTGTGGATTCTAGGGAGTGAGATCCCAGCCCAAAGAGGCAGTGAACCAGAAACATTTTCAAGAACACTACTAAGAGGGCTCCAAGGAGGGTTCATGGCAAGACTCACGCCGGTTGCTCTGCTCAATAAGCCGCTGGCAGTACTCGAAGGCTTTCTCCCGCAGACGGTCCTTTGGGGGAAGCAGGCGACTAGATGTGAATGTAGTTGAGACTATGGACATAACAGACCTGTTCATTCTTGGTTTGTCATCTACAGAATAAAGGTTACCACGTTATCAGTTCATGTTGTGGGCAGTGTAACCCACACATCTGCCCAGCAACAGTGAGGGAACTGTTTGTCCCCAGGTACACTGCGGAGAAAAGGAGGCTGGGGAAGAAGGGAGTGTTACAGGAACACTAAGGAGATGCTGCCTCCCACCACCCAGGCCTTTTTTCTCAGGGATTCATGGGGTTTTGCCTGAAACCAGTGGACTCACTGAACAAATAATTCCTTGTGGAAGGGTCACAGTAAGGATCAGTGAGGAGGTTTTGTGGTGTTCCCTCCCAAAGTTTCCCTGCTCCTAGTCCAAGAGCTCTGAACTCTTGCCCATATCCCTGCCACTTGCTGGGTTGCTGGTGCAGCCACCTCATCATCTGCACTCCTCATGGCAGTGCAGCCCACATTGGCCTTTGGTTCATACCTGAACTACGTGTCTTCAACCCCTTGCCCCCGTAGCACAGCAGCCAATTTCGCAGCATGGAGAAGGCTTGCACGTTGAGCCACTGGTCCTGTGTGTAGCACTGACCCACTGAGAGCACTGTGAAGAAATCTGTGGCAATGGCACCATCCACCTCTGTGACAAGATCAGGCTGTGAGAAAAGATGCAGCAGGTCAGATTCCCAGGGAAATGCTAAGTGAGATGGCAAGGAAACCTCCACTGAACTCACAGAGACAAGTAGCCCTGGTTTCTCTGTACGATGGGGCCTGCAGGGGGGCAGTCATCCAGTGAGAGAAAAGCCAACTGTGTTGGATCCCATCTTTCCCCCACCTGAAATGCTCCAAACATTCCCCCTCTCTCTGACACAGGCCTCATCTGCAATCAGCTTTTACTCCAAGGTACACAGTCACTGAAAGACTCTTCCCTCAAAACTACTTCAAGGATCAAAGAAAGCTCTGGCTCTACAGCAGAACTGCTAAATCTTGGAGCTATAAATCCCCCTACTTTGCTTTCCTTTGTGTCTTGACCACTTAACCCACAAAAAGTGTCAGAGAACAGCAGCCCTTCTAGGTTACCATTTCCTAAAAAAAAAAAGCTGATTTTGGGAACCTGAAATAGCAGATAACTGACTAACAAATGCCCCTGTGAGATGGTCATGGCAACTCAGCACTCACCTGTCTGGTCCTGGGACTGGAGAAGAAGCCTCCAGATGGTCGAGTGACTCCTTGCTGAACACTCGCATACCTCAGCCAGTGAGCCATCTTCTTACTGACTACATTGGTCTGCTCTGTACAAGGAAAAGCCACAGGCTCATTGTTAGATCAGGCAGAGAAGCAGCTTCTGCAACATAACTCTGCTGCCCCTGGGTTGCTGTTCTTTTCCTCCAGCTTAGATCACTGTCTCGCTGATACAGCAGTCAGTAAAGAAACTGGCACCCCAAGGTGGATGCTCTATACGCCTCCTCATACCACTTCAGAGTCCAGATCACTCATGATCATTTCATTTCAGAGCTCTGTGTCCTTTTCTAATTCATAGCCACTGAATCAGTCTTATTATTGCTTTGCCTCTTTCCTCAGAGAAAAAGTCAGGGAGTGAGTTCTAGAGCCAAGGACTTCTGGTACCAGATCAGCCAAGGGGTACTGGTTCCTTTGTCTCCATCCACAGCTGCTATTAGGAAGAAGGTGTAAAAATATTGTCAAATCTATTCAGGCAGCAGCTGGCTTCAGCTCTGCAGACAAAGGCATAAATCCCTCACAGAGAACACCAGAAGCTAAGGCAGGTAATCCTGCCTGCTTGGCCAGCCCATATGCCCTGGCCCAAAGCTTCTCCTGCACACTGCATGACATACACAAACCTCACAGAAAACTCCCACTTTTAACAGCAGTTTCCAACTCCTACTCCTAGTCAAAGCCTTGAGAAAACCTTCTAATCACTATACAGATCACAGCCAGATGGTAATCTCAGGCCTTCCTATATATTTACCTTCAGTTAGAGATTCTGGTGAAAGACTGATGACATTTGAGAGGACAGGAAGAAGGTATTGAGCACCCTGACCCTCAGGTAGTCTTCTTTCAAGGACTTTTACAACACGCTGCCCCACAGCAGACACTTCAGCCTTATTTCCCTTAAGAATAAAGCAGAGGTGAAGGTAGATAGATAATCTGCTAATGCTAGAGGTCAATACCATACAAACTCTTCCATCAGGCATCAATACCAATGTCAAACATAAAAACAACGCACAGCACAGGCTATTTTAGCACATTTTACAGAGATCTTCTGCAATGTGAATTCACAGATCCCAGGAGGGGAAGAGTACTCTGATGGAGCAACAGGTTTGTGGATCAACCATCACATGAAGTGGAAATTAACAACTGCAATGGATGTCTTCAAATTAAACACTATGGTCTATCAATTTCAGAGCAGAGAGGACCAGCACTAACTACTCCCCATGTGGTCAGTTTCCTACCTCAATTGTTAAATTAGAAATTTATGAGCAGAAAATGGACTGCTGCAACATTTTCCAGGACTCTCTGATTAGTCCATATCCTCACAATGTGAAAAACAAAGCAGCTTCCTCTCTTTGGAGGCTGTTATAGCTGTGGCTCTGAGATCCTATCAAACCCTTCTATCCAGGATGACTTTGTTAAAGGTGATAGGTGGACCCACAATTCTGACAGATTTTCTTTCCCCATGGATGTCATCATGCCAATAAAAAGTAAATTTTGTCTGCTGCTCCAAGTCTGGGACAGCTGGCTGCTGAAGGCAGCAAACAAACACCAATCTCCAACACTCCCCATCTACTAGTCAGATTGGTACCAGATCACTAGAAGCAATTAGGAAATGACAGATGAGCTTCCAGTGAGGAATTTCATATGGGAACCTCATCCATGACTGGAGCTGCTTTCTATGCTCCTCTTGTGAACAGACGTGAATAAATCAACCAAAGCAACATACAGAGAAGGAAGCTGAAGGTTCAGGGATGGGGATCTGTGCAGTGAAGGAAAGTGGGAGAGACAATCTCGCTCCTCCTGCAGACACATTGCTGCAGCTCACTGCAAATGATGGGGCTGTTTATATGTGTTGCTGACACAACTCTTGTTGCTCAGAAGAAAACCAGACTGAACTAAAATTAATGGCAGCTTTCCAGCTCCTAATGCAACACCAGAAGCTGTGTTTTCTGGAAAACCAAAAGCTTAACAAAAAGAACATTAGCTTTGCAGAGACAAGGGGAAAGTGGGGCAAAGAGAAGGAGGATGATTTTCACCCAAAGCAGTGACAAATGAAAAGATGCAGAAGGTGTTTTTAAAGGCTCTGCTGAAGTGTGGCTGCTTTCATCAATCAGGCAGCTGCACCCCAGGTTTGAGAAGTGATACTGAAATAGCTAAAATATAACAAGTTGTAATAATACAAAAAGTTTATGCAAATTTCTTCATAGTTTTAGTTGTAATCTAACAGAATATTAATGTACAGAGTATGTTTTTGCATTGTAGAACGCAGGACAGTCTCGAGGCTGGGTATGGAAGAGAGGTGCTTTATAAGGCAGCACATAAGTAACACAGCACTGTTTTCTGTTTCTGTGTTTTCATTTCCTCTAACTAAGTAAGACTCAAAGGAGTAATCAGAAATGTAGGAGGCATTTCTAAGCACATGGTGAAACTCAGAATGAGAAGTTTCAGAAAAGCCTAGAAAAATATTTTATCTTTAATAGACACAATAATAGTAAAAGAAGAAGTAGAAGGGGGAAAAAAAAAAGGTTCCCAGTTTATTCCCCAAAGGGGAAGGCAGCACTCAGAACAGGAAGGTCCTCGTGTTTTCTTCTCCGTGGAGAATCTAGATCTTTGAAGCACCATCCACATTTAAAGCCCTACATATTTTATAGGTTTTGTGTATATTTTTTTTTACACTTGAACATGAACGCCAGTATCATAAAAAGTAGTAAATTCACTCTCAGATTTTTTGCTCTAAAAGTTCAAGTAGCCTGACATGAAGGCTATTATAGCAGCTAGCACTGAAGAGTTCCTTTCTGCTCCCAGTTGGTTACAAGCCTACTTGAGACCCTCAGTCTGTACACAGCACAATTTTAAGCAGTCTTTGTTAACAAATACTAAACACAAAAAAGTTGCCATTTTTTCCTACACAAAGCAGAACAATAAGGTTCCTTAAACAAATATGGAAATGCTTCTGTTTTTTTCCTAGATACTTTCAACTGATTTTCATTCTCCATATGATTAGCAAACAGGGAACAATCAGAAAGCAAATCCATACCGACAAGGGAAGATTTCTGACTTGGTCATTTACCTGAGCCAAAAGGACGGAGGATACCAAGCTCAAGAGCTTTGTATCTTCAATTTCATCACAGGAGAGGATCAGATCATTGCAAGGTGACATCTCTCTCAGGATGGCAGCACATAACACCTGAATCTGCTCAGGGCATTTGGATGAACACAGCACTGTCTGCAACAGTTCCACGAACTTGCCATCTAGCCTGCAAGAGTCACAGTAAAGCATCACTGCAAGGCAAGAAAAGATTCAGAGATATATTTCACACCTCTAGTATGGTGTTCATTTTTGGGCCCCTCACTACAGGAAGGACATTGGAGTGCTGGAGCGTGTCCAGAGAAGGGCAATGGAGCTGGGGAAGGGTCTGGAGCACAAGTGTGATGGGGAGCAACTGGGGGAACTGGAGTTGTTGAGCCTGGAGAAAAGGAGGCTGAGGGGAGACCTTCTCACTCTCTACAACTCCCTGAAAGGAGGGTGTGGAGAGCTGGGGGTCTCTTCTCCCAGGTAACAACCAACAGAATGAGAGGAAATGGCCTTAAGTTATACCCAGGGAGACTTAGAGTGGATATTAGGAAAAAAATTCTTCACCGAAAGGGCAGTCAAGCATTGGAACAGGCTGCCCAGGGAGGTGGTGGAGTCACCTTCCCTGGTGGGATTTAAAAGAGGGGTAGAGGAGGTGCTCAGGGACATGGTTTAGAGGTGGAACTGGCAGCGTCGGGTTTATGGTTGCATGGTGTAGAGGTGGAACTGGCAGTGTCGGGTTTATGGTTGGACTTGGTGATCTTAATGGTCTTTTCCAACCACTACGATTCTGTGATTCTTGCATATTCTTGGTCTTGGGATGATCTCCCTGGACAGTAACCCTGACTGATACCATCTTACCATCACCACTTCTGAATTTCGTTCCTTAGTGCAGCCTGACAGAGCTCTCAGTGACACAAACCCTTGTTACGATCCCGCTGCAGAAGCAGGTGGGCACCTTCTGCTTAGCAATGGGGGGGGGAAAAGGCAAAGAGGGGCTTTACGTTGTGTGATAGGAAAACTCAGTGTTTTCAAAACAGGGTGTTTTTGCAAAGCACTAAATCTCCCCCCCCCCTTT